AAATTCTATAATATTTCTTGTAAGGTCTTATTGTTCCTTTGGATTTTTACTCTGCCTTCTCTCCCCTGTCTTCTGGATGGCCATTCTTCACTTTGCCATCTAAATATTTAGCCGCATGATAATTCCGCTTTTCTTTTCAATTCCCAGCATCCACACTGAATCACTTTCCAAATTGAGTCACTGGATCAACAATCAGGCATGGAGACCTGGCTGATTTCCAACCCACACCCCCCTCCCACTGCCTCAGTGTAAGAGAAAACTTTAGGACCTTATCCTTCCCAATTTTTACGTTCATTGTGCTTCAATCCCTCTCAGTTATACAGATTGTGGTTACGGGACATGCTGTGTCCTGTTGTACCAATCAGAGTCGACTGAGAACGGCATTTGGCCATGTCCTTGTGGTGGAAGAAACTCAAGTGCTTTACAGCTGCTTCAGCTTTAATGCTGGATGAGATAGTCCATTGTTGCTGATATATGACTAATGCTTTCTCAGGCTTCTATCAGCGTGTAGGAATGTGGTTTGGGGTGGGTTTCTAGTCCTAGGGCAAACAGATTGAAATCTTACCACAGCAGATGGGATGCTTACAAGGCTAGGCAAGCAAACCCTGTAGAGTAAAGACAGAGCCTCTGTTAATACAGCATTTAATCACATCCCTGGTGACATCTCAAAGTACTTGCAACCAGCCATCAGAAGTGTTGTTCTGTAGGCAGACAGATACGGAGAGCTGAATTCCACTAGCAGCAGTGGAGGTGAGTAACCAGTTAATCTGTTTTTGGCGCTGTTCATTGAGGGAGAAATGTCAATCAAGAGTCCTGTGGAAATCTCCCACTCTTCAAGTAGTATTATAAGATTTTTTTCTTTCATCTGAACAAGTGCTCAACACCTCATTTGAAAGACAGCATCCCTGACTATACAGCACTCTCTCAGTCTTGCATGGGACTGTCAAACTTGTTTCTGTATATTATGAAAATTAGTAAAACTGGCAAATGACGCATATTGGTCTGACTCATCGTGTATAATTCAAAATGGAGGTCCAATATGGTAAAAGTGAATGGTAAAAGAGAGAGAGAATGACTGGTGATAGTTTAACCTGAGGGTTACCACTCCTCAGATGAGGGGAAGAGGTTGAGAAGTAAAGTCCTGCAGGGGAACCTCCGCCAGTGCAGGAATTGAACCCATGCTGTTGGCATCACTCCGTTTTGCAAACCAGCCATCCAGCCAACTGTCAATGGCAAGAAAGCATACTTAATCAGGTGGCCTCACAGCCCATTTTGAGTGAGTAAAAATCAGTCTTGTATAAAGGCAAATTGTATGTTGGCCTTCATTGTGAAAGGAGTTAAGTTCAGACGTAGGGATGTCTTACTCCAGTTCTACAGGGTGTTGGTAGGACTGCACCTGGAGTAACGTGTGCAGTTTTGGTCACCCTACCTGAGAGAGGAGGTTCACTTGGCTGATAGCGGGGACGGCAGGACTGTTGTATGAGGAGAGATTTGTTTGATTTAGTATGTATTCATTAAGGTTTGGAAGAATGAGTGGGAATATATTTGAAACAGACAGAATTCTCACAGGGCTAGGTAGACTAGATGCAGGGAGGATGTTTTCCTGGTTGGGGAGTCTAGGACTAGGGGGCATGGTCTCAAAAAATGGGATACACCACTTAGGACTGAGATGAAGAAACAATTCTTCCACTCAAGAGGGTGGTCAGTCTGTGGAATTCACTACCACAGAAGGCTGGGAGCTGGGTCACAATATTTTCAAGAAAGATAAATGTTTAGGTATTAAAAGTGTCAAGGAACGTGGGTGAAAGCGAAAATATGGCGTTGAGATAGAGGAGCAGTCATGATCATACTGAATGGTGAAGCAGACCCGAAGAACCAAATGCCTAATCTTCCTTCTAGTTTCTAACCCTAAAATCTTTGGGGTGGTATTCTGAGTGACTCAGCTTTTATTTATTTTGATTTCAAGGCTTTACATCCAATGCTTTTCTTTCCCAATCTCATGGCAAATTACAAATCCACAGGTGTCTTGCAGTACCTGAATCCCCAGTTCCTCATACGGGCCTAGATAATGAGACCCTTGCTGGCCTGTCTTATGAATGTGAAAGACTCCACAACACTGTTTAGAAAAAGTGCAGGAAAATTGGCCCTGTTCTAAAGAATGAACTGCCACAGGAAATCATGGAAGCTGGTACAATTATAACATTTAAAAGGTATCTGGATGAGTATATGAATAGGAAGGGTTTAAAGGGATATAGGCCAAATGTTGACAAATGGGACTTGATTAATTTAAGATATCTGGTTGGCAAGGACAAGTTGGACCGAAGGGTCTGTTTCCATGCTATACATCTCTATGACTCTAATGAGAGGCAACCTTAGATCTCAAAGCAGTGACTTGGCTGGCAGTGTTGCAAACTCTTAAGTTGTTGAAAGATTGTTCTTTTGTGTTTTGTGATAGTGAAAAAGGTTTTAATCAGATTAAAGCAGAGTTTTGTCAAATTAGAAGAGCAGTTGTTGACTTAATGTTGGCAGTAATGTGAGACTGGCCCCAACATGCTATGTATGAGGAAAGCATCGCTGGATAATCACTGCATAGAACTGGAACTGACCCTTTGAAAGCTACACTTCCTTCACAGCTGTCAAAACACCAGCATTTTAATCCTCCAGAACATAACTGGTGCAAAATAATTCTGTTTCCAAAGCAGTTTGTCCTGGTCGAGATTTTTTTTGAAGCTTTTGTGCTCATCAAAGTGAGGGACGTTTGAACTCAGGAAAACAAGACTTTGCATGGAAATTTAAGTCCAACTCCCAATGTCAACGTTAAGAATTTCCTTCTCTTCAAGGTACTAATTCCTACTTGGGGATTTTTCCTTGGCTGCTGTTCTGACATCATGCTTTAAATGCATGGCATTTCCTTATAGGAAGAACAAACAAGTGACCATCATAGATTCACAGGAATGGTTACAGCATGGAATAAAGCCATTTTGTCTAAAGTGTCTTTGTTGGCGCTCTGTAATAGCAATCAACAAGTTCCAATGCCCCACCATTTCCTTTCTTTTCTCAATTTATTTTCTTTTTTTTTCAATATGCCTCCCATGTTTCCCAAGAAAGGCAGTCCATATTCTAACCATACTGTAGAAAACTGCTGGTTCCTTTCCCAATCAGTTTAGATTGGTCCTGCATGGCCAGTAAACCATGGTGGTCATTACAGGCTAGCCTTATCCTGTCATTGCTAAAGTAAAGAAATTGGCTTTAGTTGATTTTTGTTTTGCCTTATGTGGATCCATGGAGATCGACGGAGATCCACTGCAAAAGTCTACTTCATGTAATCTGTCAATTCTGTCAGCAAGTTATCCAATTTTCCAACCACGTGCTGAATGGCAAGATGAGACTCTCGCTAGTGAGTGGCAAGAGACATATTTGCCTGCATTAGCATACACTAACATCATTACTTTTATGTGATATTGCCTTACCAATGTAGAGTTACCCACTCTCCCACCTGCTGGATTTAACTAGACAGCAGCAATTCCTGACATGAAAGTCAGAGGTAAGCTGGCAAATCCAGCTCAATGCTTGCTCTTGTTACCCTCCATCTTGGACACCAGGTACCAATATCTCAGTGGACGCTCCAAGGTCAATGATCCCATGCACCCTTCTCCACCAGGACCTCCCAGTCAGCAAAGTGGATGTCAAATTTCTCTTTGTCTGACATGTCTGGGATAATTGACAGGAACTGCGCAGGGCAGCTGTGCACTGCCAGCACATGACCAGGTGCATGTCTGGTCTTTAAAGATGGTGGCAGTGCCAGAAAACCTGGGAGCTCCTGGCAGTGGCCAGTACTTCTGCCTGTAGTGAGTAGGGGAATTAAACCAGCAGGATGCCAGAGGGAAGTGATGAGATGAGTTTGGGAAGATAGCATGAGAAAATCTGCTTGGGCTCATGGAGAGAAACCCTCCAGGAAAGTTGCCAAGATTGACACTTCGTTGATTTCTTTGTTGAACGTATCTGTTTGACTCAATTGGTTATAAAGTCATCAGGGGGAAAGCAAGCTTTTAGTCATCATTATTGATCTGACAAACAACAAGGTACAGACGTGAAAGCCTATGTGACATGCTTTTATACTTGCTGCTCTGTTCTGCTGAAAGAGGCAGACCTTTCTCTTGTAATTAAGAAAACTCAGTACCATTTCCGACAGATCAGGAGGTTTTTAAGCTGCTAGGAAATCCTTTGAATGCAGGAGCTTTCCATCGAGAAATTGCTGATCGATCTTCTCAGATGTCCTGTCTGGGCCACGAGGAAGCACAACTAAAACCAAGCTTCTCTCCTATGACTTTGTCATCAATTGAGCCAAACAGACCCATTCAATAAAAGAATCAACAAATTGTCAATCTTGGCAACTTTCCTGTGGGGTTTCTCTCCATGAGCCCTAGCAGATTTTCTCATGCTATCTTCCCAAACTTACCTCATCACTTCCATCTGGCACCCTGTTGGTTAAATTCCCCAACTCACTATACGCAGTCGCATGTCATGGGTAAGGGTAATGGTTTCAATTTCCTTGAATGAGGTATATTGTTATGAGAATCCAGCAGCTTTCCTAACCATTTTTCTGGAGTCATACAACCATGAGACTCGAGGACATAGAAAGAGAGCATTCAGCCCTTCGTGTCTGGGTCAGCTGAATAAACACTAACAAAATAAATAAACTGACTGCCCTTTCTAATCGATTATTTATTAATTTAGTTCTAATCTCACTTTCCAGAACCTGATCCATAGCATTGCATGTTACAGTGCTTTAGCTACAGATCCAGGTTCAGTTTAAATGAGTTGAAGTTTTCTGCCTTAACGACCAAAATGGGCAGTGAATTCCAGGCACCTACCATCTTCTGGGTGAAAAGATTTTACCCTATATAAATGTAATTCAAATGATCAGATTTATAGATGTTACATGGGACTTAGAATAAATCTTCTGAAGTTTGCTGAATCTTGACCACTTCTGCTCTTTTCCAGTGCTGTGAGCCTGAAGCAAGCACAAAAGTGAAGTAATATATCTTGCACCAACCAAAGAACCGGCAGCGATTTTGTTTCATATTTCAGAGACAGAGAAACTGCACAAAGGTATGTTCTGTCCAGTTGTCTACCCCTTATACCCCAGTGGCACACAAATGTGCTTGTGAACACGTCCCATTTGAAGTAGTTACTTTGTTGAGAAAATACCAACAGATTTCTCCATGAGTCATCAGATGATCCACAATTTTTTAAGAACATTATTCCGTAGTACATGGTATTTATTTGGCTTTTAACAACCTGTCCTTTTAAAAACTTAAATCTAATTGATGGGAATTCCTTATCTCCAGGTTGGTTACAGGCAAGAAATATTTAAAGCCAATTAGACAGTATTTTTTTGTTGGGGAAATTAAAAAAAAAGTCTGATGCAAAGCATAACAACAAAAGTAGATGGAGATACTATTGTCATATTTTAAAAATCAATGCCTGCATGTATTTTCTCTTTACAAAGCCCTGTCCTATTACCAACCTTCCCAACTTTACATTCTTATATGTACATCTTTAACTGAAACTGTCTGTTACGCTGTAATTGAAACCACTGGACAGTGGCTCAGTTTTACATCTCCTGCATCACCTGAAGAGAAACTCCAGTGCTTCAACTAGCTCCATACTTAAAAATTACTGTAAGCTTTGCTAATTTACTACAAGTAAGAATATAAAATTATACAAAACAAGGAGGAAGTGTATTCTTTAAATTTGAACTCTGGTCCTCCAGTTTGGTCCAATTATTTCATGTTTTTTAAACCCAATGCACCTGGAGGCCATAGCTAATGAAACAACATAAAATAATCAAAGTAGGTTCTTGAGGTACATGATAGTGTCCCTACTTCTGAGCCGGGAGACCTGGGTTCAAGTCCCACCTACTCCACAGGTATGCCATAAAAACTTTTAGAAGTTTGATTAGAAAATATCTATTTAACATAATCTAATACCAGTATGCAATTCCTATCTACAAATGTGTGCTTTCTAACATGTTAGCTTTTTCCATTATAAATTCTTATATTTATAAAGCAGACTCATCCTGCTCTAATTTCTCCTCATCTATTTCTCTGTTTATGTGGCCGAGTGTGTGGAAGTTAGAATCCCTACAGTGTGGAAACAGGCCCTTCAGCCCAACAAGCCCACACTGACCCTCAGAGTAGCCCACCCAGACTCATCCCCCTATAACCCACCTAATCTACACATCCCTGAACACTATGGGGAATTTAGCATGGCCAATCCACCTAGCCTACCCATCTTTGGACTGTGGGAGGAAACCGGAGCACCTGGAGGAAACCCACGCAGACACAGGGAGAACATGCAAACTCCACACAGACAGTCACCCAAGGCTAGAAACGAACCTGGGTCCCTGGTGCTGTGAGGCAACAGTGCTAACCACTGAGCCACCGTTGCACAACTGTTGGCATTTTCTGGCATTTTGCTCAAGTGATCAAACTTCTTGATTGAACATAAGGACTGCACATTGGAAGGCTCTTCAACTGTCGAGACATCATTCCCAAGCCTGATATCTGTTCCCTATCCAATATCAATAAATGTGTAACTTCTAACTCTCTAGCAATCAAGGATAAATACTAACTCCTTCTTCCTCAAATTCAAAGTACTAAAGACAAATGAACGACCAATACCTTCATCCCGTTAGCTAAGCTAACTTGGCACAGACAGCATTGGACTCTGGGGTATTGTTCATTTACATGACTTAGTACCATACCAGACAGCAGATTCACCACAGAGCCATCCTGGTGAAAAAAGTGCTGAACTTGGAATATTGCAATGGTAAAGCTCAGTAGGAGGCTTTTTCACCTAATGAGTCTATGGTAGCCGTTTTGAAAAGTGATTCTGTTCGTTCTGACTCCAAACCCATATCCCTACAATTTTCTTTCCATCAAATGTCTCTCCAATACCCTTTTGAAAACTATTACTGGTATGTTTTCACCACCCTACCAGGCTGCACTTTGCAAATCCTACTAGCTTGTTACATTAAAAATTTGCCCCGTCATTTCTGGTTCTCTATTACCAGTCAGCTTAAATCTGTTCCTTCTGATTATCAACCTTTCAGACTCTAGAAACAGTTTGTCTGTCTTTAATCTATGTAAGTCCTGCACAATTTCAAACACCTTTATCAAATCTTCTCTTTGCCTGATCTGTTTTAAAGGAGAACAACCCAGGCCTCCATTCTCTCTAGGCAACAATAATCAGGGCAGGGACAGAAGTCCTGGTTCCACACCTGATCGGAGTACATTCCTTCTAGACCTCTGGGCCTCAGTTATTGAGCCCTGATGTACCCCATTGTCCTATGCCCTGACTATAATAATTTGAGTAAATACTTTCTGTATCTTCTTTAAAGCCTTCATATCCTTCCTAAAATGTGGTTCCCAGAATAGAAAACAAAACCCTATTGAGGTCAAACAATTTTAATTATTACTTTCTTAATGTGATTCAGAATACCCAATGCTTTATGCTTTGTTAACCTGTCTTTCCATCTCCAAAAATTTAAAAAATGCTGCTCCAGGTTTCTTTCTTGCATCTCCTTTAATTTTGTACATTTAGTTAGCATCATCTCTATCCAATCTTGCCATCAAAATGTATCACTTCACACTTCTATGCATTGAACTTTGTTTTTCATAAGCAATGCAACAGTGGCAATGCCCAATTCAGATAGCCTGACAGTAGCACATATCTCATCTTCCAGCTTTCCTTCAAGGAGGTGGGATTGGCTAATACTTTACTGTTCCTGATTTTGGCAGATGGCTAAAAAGGACGATGACTTAGATGTGCTGCTCCCAAATTGGTCAGGAGCAGCTGCGCATGGGTTCAGTATAAGTGGTGGTGACGAAGGGATCTTCATTAAGGATGTGGTGCAGAATTCTCCAGCGGGAAAGAGTGGAGTGATGAAGGAAGGTATGATTCTGCTCTGCATTGCTAGTTTTCCTTGCCCACACTATATCTTGGTAGTTGAACACTCCGAACTAATGGTCTAATTCCTAAATGTAGAGACCCTCTTAACCACACATTTTGTAACATTAAAAAAAACCTAATTAATTTCACTCTTGGTAATTTTGCTGCAATTGTTTAAAGTAAACAACTTATTTAAAATTGCCTAGATGATCAGAAATCGAGTAGAAATATCCTGGGTTTAGTACAGTATTGCAGACTTTACAGACTTTAACATGTACTGATGGATCTTCCTTGACCATGTTTGCCATAAATTAGATGGTGCACTATTTTGTAAGGATAAAACTCTTACACTATTTATTTTGAAAATGTTATTTTACTGCAATAGCTGTGCTCCTTCAAAGCTGCAAAGTTTAATTGTTAAGTAAAAGCAGGTTGAGGTCATTCGAGTATATTAGGGAACTTTGGAATCTATTAGTCAGTTTTGAGCCATAGCTGATATTATGTATCAATTTTCTTCTGCTATTGACAAAAGCCACAATATTATGTGTTAATGAAGACTTTGTTTCTTTAGGGTCACTGGACCCGAAACATTAATTCGGCTTTCTCGCTGCAGGTCTGGAATGCTGCCAGACCTGCTAATTCTGCTTTCCACAATTTCTGTTTGTGTGTCTGATTTCCAGCATCCACAGTTCTTTGGGTTTTTAATCTCTGCAGACTCTGACTTTTTATAGGTGCAGATTTCAGTGGCTGTCTATAGTATATCATCTAGTTGATCAAGACTTATTACAATGAGCGTTGGCAAGTTGTTGAACATCACAACCAAGCTACAATTCTATCCTCAATATCCAGAAATACCTTCACATTTCAGTAGGAATCACCAAATAGAGTTCACAGTGGCATGAGTGTATACCAACTACAGCAACTCACCAACACTACCAAACAACACCTTCTAATCCCATGAATTCTACCACCAAGAAAGTCAAGGGCAACAGATACCGCCACCTACAAGTTCCTCTCCAAGCCACACACTATGATGACATGGAACTATATTGCTACTCCGTCACTGCCAGTAGGTCAAAATTCTAGAACCCCTTACCTAACAGCTCTGTGGGTGCCCCTACAGCCCAGAGACTGCAGTGCCTCAAGAAGACAACACACACTTTTTCCAGGGGTGATTAGGGATGGGCAGTAAATGCTGGCTGAGCCAGCAATGCCCACACCCCATGAGCAAATAATAAAAAGCTATAGGCTGGGTCAATGAAGATTGTTCTAGTTCTGCCAGCTCAACTGAGATTATTTAGTTAACTCAGCACAGACTAGGAACTGTTTCTGTATGTCATAGATTCACACTGGACAGCATTCACATCATGAACTTTTGCAGTTTTTAACCCTAGCAGACCTATTATTCCTGCGCTGAGCTTGGCTTTTACCTTGAAGACTCTTAATGCTTTTAAATGTTCAGTGAGCTTGAAAGACAATGTATAAATGTATAAATATGACCTCTTTCTCTTAGGTGACCAGATTGTGAGTGCAACTATCTACTTTGATGACATGGGATACGAAGAAGCACAGAAAATATTAGAAACTGTAGATCGACACACAGTGGGATTGAAGCTACATCGAAAAGGAGAAAAGCTTTCTCCTGGGGGAAGTTATTCGTGGAACCCAGAACGACTTGAAGCTACAAGTCCAGATGCTGTACTGGTATGTACAGTGCATTATGGAGTAAAGTCGTATTATAATTAATTAATGCTTTCGTTTACAACTTGGGGTTAGAGAATGATGCCATTTTTATACTACCTACAAGTTTCAAGAAAGAATGGGTCTGGACTATTTGGAAGTCCTCGGTTCTGTGGGACACACTGCGTGGCACATTCAGTGGCACGATTGTAGCTCCAAGAATGCCAGCAGTTTCAAAGTAGCATTTGGTAGCTTTATTTTTGTGCATAACAGGAGAGAACATGGGGTTGAATTATGAAATAAATAACTGAGACTTCCCAGTTACTCATGGATGATGCAGACAAGGAAGGTGAAGATTCCATCCTGGACTATGCTGAGTGGGTTAATCAGAAAGTAGGGGGCACTACAATTGGCCTCAGTTTCTGAGTATTGAAAGGAATATTGTCCAGTGTTCCTGCTCCTGATTGAAATGAGTAGTGAATGCATGTGAATAAGATGCAAGCTTTCTGTGTTGGCTCCCACAGTTGAATAGTCTGTTCACCCGTGGCCAGCTAAATATAATTGTGAGTGGAGAGGAGGATCCATTTCAAAGGTAGGCAGGAATGTGGGGTTGAGCCATGATTGAATCAGCCTTGATCATAATGAATGATGAAGCAGAATCCTGGGGCCAAATAGCATACTCATATAATCCCTACAGTATGGAAGCAGGCCATTTGGCCCATCGAGTCCACACTGACTCTTCCAAAATCAGCCCACCCAGACCCACCCCACTAGCATATCCCTGCATTTCCCACGGCTAATCCACTCATCCTGCACATCCCTGGACACTGTGAGCAATTTAGCATAGCCAATCCAACTAACCTGCACATCTTTGTTGTGGGAGGAAACTGGAGCTCCCAGACGAAACCCACGCAGATATGGGGAGAATGTGCAAACTCCACACAGTTGCCCGATGGTGGAATTAAACCCAGTTCCCTGGCCCTGTGAGGCAGCTAACTACTGACCTACTATGCCACCCTGGCTCCTAATTTTTATGTTCATACATATATATAAGTATGTTCAATAACTGGTTACTTAAATAAGGTATCAGATGGTCACCCAGTCAGGGATACAACTGGGAAAAAAAGGATAACACTGTAGAGAAACCAATAAATGAAACAGAGGATGCAGTTCATGGCACAAAACTCTGAACCTTTCTAAAAACTGTTTTCCCCAATAATTGGAAATGAAAGGACATCCTATTTTCGCACCCTCATATGCTGCCCTCTAGAGGCACTGATGAAAAGCACTTCTTCAGTCAGATTGCACCTCTGCATTTATCTTACAATGTCACCTGATGTGGCAGAGTTTTATGTTAAAAATAACAAAATAATACTCAACTCTGTGGAAATAAAATTCCTGGAAACTTCCAAATTCTATGTAGAACTGTAAAATCCATGCATAACTCATCAAATTTATTTATTATAAATTTCAATATTCACTTTAAAAGAAACAGCCAGTGTAAATTTATTGCATTGTAATTAGACCCTCCCAATAGTGAAGTCACTGCAGTATCCGAGGCAACCAGTAAGCACTCTAATATATTTTTCTTTTATATCCTTGTACACATATTTCTTTAAGTCTTCTACATCACTCCTGAAGGAGCTCAATCTTCCTGCAGCTTATGGTCCTCCAAACCTCACTCATTTATCATGGGCTGTGTGTCCTGACACCCGAAAAGGTCTACATTGAGCATATAAGAAAGTTCTGCACATGCACACTTTTTGAACTTTGCCAGTAAAAAACATAGTGGCACCCAAATAAGCACAATGTGTCTCCTGGTAGCCCCAAAAGGTTCACATTGCACATGCAGTTATTACTGGTGGGGAAGGGACAGATTGGAAGAGGTGCATCATATATAAACATAGACATTTCAGTTGTGGACAAAGGAATATATTACAACTAAGCTTGATCCTATCCTCGTTGAATGTCCACACACAACCTCTTTCCAACAGAATCACTGGACAGGTATTAAAGTGGGTATTCTGGTTGATATTTTCTTTCCTTCCCAGCTCTTGTGCTGCCATACTAGCTGAGATTGACTAGATCAGCACAGGCCTGAAACTAGGACAAAACTGTCCTGGATGGAAGCCTAAAAAATTCACTGAAATAAAAACAAAAATATGGATATGACACAAGATTTTATATTTCCTCTAGAGTGGAGATGATGAAGACTATCAAAGGATTTTCAGAACAAAAATCAAGCCTCATCTGAAGTCAGAAGATGGCTCAGAGGCATCAGATCAAGGCGACAGAACTTCCAATGTACATATCACCAGAAAGGTTATTACACGTACTATTCATACTTCTGGCCCTACAGTCGTAATGGACACAGACATCCAGAATCCAGAATTTAAAATAAAAGTTCCAAGATATGAGCAAGTCACCAATGAGAGATCAGGACCAAAACTGGAAACATCAGAGATGGATGTAGATGTTAATCTCCCAGGCACTGAAGTTCTGAAACTTCAAACGGGAGATGGCCAACGGACCACTCGTACAATGCACATTGTGAAAACAAAAGTTGTAGAGGTAACTGGACCAGATATGGAACATGGCCAGGCTACTTTCCATATGCCACAGCTCAATATAGCAGGAGGAGGAAGAACAATGCAAACAACAGATCTTGACTGCAAAGCTGGAATGACAAATGTGAAAGATCCTGTTATTGATATTAATACAAGTGGAGCAAAAACAGTCATTGCTTCTCCAAACACTGATGCTGATCTTAATGTATCTGGAACATATGACAATTTAAAAGGTCCAACAATTGATGGTCAAAAGTTAAAAATGCAGCTTGATGGCTCAGGTTTCAACACACAAGATGGGAAACTAAATATCAAAATGAAGACACCAAACATCAGTGTTTCGGGCTCAGATGTAAACACAAATACGTGGACAAAAACAGAAGCACCAGATCTGAATATCGGTATGAATGTTCCTGAGACAGACATTAAAATATCTGGACCAAGGATAGAAGGCAATGTTGAAATACCTGCAGTCGATCGGAATGTTGGAGGGGGTGCTAGTGAAATCAAAAGCCCAAATTTTAACTTTCCAGGAATCAGGTACAAAACTCGTGAACCTGATTTTAATCTGGAAGGCAAAGGCGCAAAAGCAACAGTAAATGTTGATGTGCCTGACATTGAAGTGGAGAGTGGCATCAAAAGCCCTACATTTAACAAGACAGGATTCACTATCTCTGGGCCCAAGGTGACAATGCCTGATATTTATTTGGAGCAGAAAGGTCCAAAAGTTGCATTACCTGACATCAATCTACAGGATGACAGCAAGGGTCTAAATCTGAATACTAACGATTCAAAAGTTGGTATCAAGCAACCTGACATCAGAGAAAAGGAGCTTAAGTTTTCAGTGCCTTCTATGAATATGCCCACTGTAAAAACTGCAGACATTGACTTAAATCTTAAAGGCTCAATAGGAAAAGGTGACCATAGTACTGACCTTCCCTTAGCAAATATTAAGGGAGACATCAAAGAACCCAAAGTAGATATAGAAACAGATATACTAGACACTGATATTAGATGGCAGAGTACAAATTCTGATTTAAAGGGACCAAAGATAAAAGGTGATGTTCATATACCTGATGTAGATTTAAATGTCAGAGGAGGGTCTAGTAAAATCAAAGGCCCTAATTTAAAGATGCCAGACTTAAGCATCTCAGGACCAAAGATCAAAAAGCCAGATATCAATCTGAAACTCAAAGGCCCAAAAAGCACAGCAGATGTTAATGCCCCTAATATAAATCTAGAGAGTGTTTTCAAAGGCCCAGATGTGAATATTAAAGGGCCTAAGATTGATATTGAGGAACCTGATGCCAAAGGTAGTGACCTCACGTTTTCGATGCCTTCAGTAGGTTCACCCACGGTAAGGGCTCCTGGCATTGATTTGAGTCTTAAAGGACCACAGGTGAAAACTGACCATGATGCTAACCTCCCTTCTGCTAGTATTGTGAGTGAGATCAAAGGACCCAGTGTGGATGTGGATGTTCCTGAGGCTGATATTAAGGGCCTTAGTGGAACGTTCCATCTGCCCAAAGTCAAAATGCCGATGTTTGGAATGGGTGGAGGGAAAGTAACAAGTCCGGATGTCAATATTGATGCGAATCTTCCCACTGCAGATGTCATTCCACCTGGTCCAAAGATAGAAGGTGCTGTTGATGTACCTGTTGTAGATGTAGGCATTGATGCAGGTTCCGATAAAATCAAAGACCCGAAATTTAAAATGACAGACTTAAGTATTTCAGGACCCAAGACTGAACGACCAGAATTCAATCTCAAATTCAAAGGCCCGAATGCCACAGAACATATGGATGTCCCTGATGTTAATCTGGAAGGTGATCTCAAAGGCCCAGATGTGAACATTAAAGGTCCCAAAGTTAATATTGAGGGACCTAATGCCAAAGGAAATGGCCTAAATATTTCAATGCCTTCCATAGGATTGCCCAATATCAAGACACCTGAGTTTGATTTGAATCTCAAAGGCCCAAAGGTGAAAGCTGCGCATGAGGATGCCCTTCCTTCTGCAAGCATTGAAGGTGAGATCAAGGGACCCAAGGTGGACGTAGATCTTCCTGGGGCTGACATGAAGGGTCCGAGTGGATCAATCCACATGCCAAAATTTAAAATGCCCAAGTTCGGATTTGGTGGAGGTAAAGTAGAAGGACCCGACGTCAATGTTGGTGCAAATCTTCCAGCTGCAGATATCAGTCTAACTGGTCCAAAAATAGAAGGTAGTATTGATACACCAGACGTAGATTTAGATATTGGTGGAGGCTCAGCTAAAATCGAAGGCCTTAAATACAAAAAGCCAGATTTCAATATATCAGGACCCAAGTTTGAAAAGCCAGATTTCAACTTGAAATTGAAGGGCCCAAAGGCAACAGCAGATGTGGATGTCCCGGATGTTAATCTAGAGGGTGGTCTCAAAGGTCCAGAAGTGAAAGCTGACCACGATATTGATCGCCCCTCTGCCAAAATAGAGGGTGAGATCAAAGGACCCAAGGTGGACCTAGATCTGCCAGAGGCTCATATGAAGGGTCGCAGTGGAAAGTTCCACATTCCTAAATTTAAAAAGACAAATTTCGGATTTGGTGCAGGGAAACTAGAAGGTCCTGATGTCAATATTGATGCAAATCTTCCAGATGCAGATGTTAGTCGAACTGGTCCAAAGATAGAAGGTGATATTGATGTACCTGACGTAGATC